TGCCCGGTTCATTTTTTGTATTTTTTTTTTTTTTAAGTACAGATGGGGTTTCATCACATTGGCCATGCTGGTCTTGAACTCCTGACCTTAGGTGATTCACTCACCTCAGCCTCCCAAAGTGCTGGGATTACAGGAATGAGCCACCATGCCCTGCTGGAGTCCAACTTCTTATCCTGGCTTTCAGGGTTCTGCAGCCACCTCTCCAGACCTCTATGTTCACAGTCCCTCTACCTGTAAAGCCTCATCCGTCCATGAAGGTCCAGCTCTACAACCGTCACTGCAGCCCCCATTCCTCCTCTGCTGGGAATCCTTCCCTGATCCTTGTTAATGCTATGAATAGTGACTGCTGCTACCATTTACTGGGCAGCTACTGCATTGCAGCGTCATACTGATGTCACCTCCAATCCTTATGCAGACTCGCTCTTAGCCCTTATTATTGCGTTATGAGCCTGGTACAAAATGGGTGCTCAATAGAAAGGAGTTAAATGAATAAGGAAAGAGAAACTGAGGGCCAGGATGGGACATGACTTCTGTTCTCTCTGGCACTTATATGCTGAAAGCCGCAGAGCTTTTACCCAAGTCCCATGCCCCAACCAGGGAAAAGCACCATTGAGAAAGTGACTCCAGGCCAGACACAGTAGCTCACGCCTGTAATCCCAGCACTTTGGGAGGCCGAGGCAGGTCGATCACGAGGTCAGGAGATCAAGACCATCCTGGTCAACATGGTGAAACCCTGTCTCTACTAAAAATACAAAAATTAGCTGGGTGTGGTGGCAGGTGCCTGTAATCCCAGCTACTCAGGAGGCTGAGGCAGGAGAATCGCGTGAAACAGGCAGTTAGAGGTTTCAGTGAGCCAAGATTGTGGCACTGCACTACTCCAGCCTGGGTGACAGAGCAAGACTCTGACTCAAAAAAAAAAAAAAAGAAAGTGACTCCAGGCCGGGCGAGGTGGCTCAAGTCTGTAATCCCAGCACTTTGGGAGGCCGAGGTAGGTGGATCACTTGAGGTTGGGAGTTTAAGACTAGCCTGACCAAGATGGAGAAACCGCATCTCTACTAAAAATACAAAATTAGCCAGGTGTGGTGAGGCATGCCCGTAATCCCAGTTACTCGGGAGGTTGAGGCGGGAGAATTGCTTGAACCCAGGAGGCGGAGGTTGCGGTGAGCCAAGATCGGGCCATTGCACTCCAGCCTGGGCCACAAGAGTGAAACTCCGTCTCAAAAGAAAAAAAAGAAAGAAAGAAAGTGACTCCATGCTCAATCTTGAGTTCCACAAGGACTAGGAAACAACTGCTAAGGTAGGCAACTGAGCGGGAAGCCGATGCAGGGAGCCTGGGAGGCCAGCGAGGATGTAGCAGCCAGGGTCCAGATGTGAAGGATTGAGGCTTGAGCTGGAGAGGGACCTCAGGTGATAAGGGAGGAGAGGAAGGGCTCATTCGTTCATTCACTCATTCAGCAAACGCTCCCTGAAGGCCCGCTCTGCACCTCCCTGGTATTTGTGGGGAGGGATGAGGTGCAAGAGGCGTCAGGGGAAGTGGAGGCTGTGTTTGCCCAATAGAATGTGTCCACGAGAGGGACTCTGCAATTCCAGTTCTAGGAATCTGTCTTCCTCAGACTGTCCCACGAGTGTGCTAAGATCTGCAGACAAGCCTGTTTACCACAGTGCTATTTGTAAGCATCAACGCGGAAATGACCCAGCCAGCCATTGATGGGATTCACATGAGTTAGGGCCATTCAGACAAGTCATAGGGTGAGTCTGATCTAAAATGAGAGGGGCAAAGTACAGAACAGTACGCACAGCGTTATTCCACTTTGTATTTTTGAAATGCTAGAGGTGTGTGTATATAGATGTTGTAAATTCACAGACTTTGCGAATTGTGGCTATTTCTGGAGAGTAGGACCAGGGAGAAGGGTAGTTCTCACTTTTAATTATTTATTTATTTATTGAGACATGACCTCACTCTGTTGCCCAGGCTGGGGTGCAGTGGTGCAATCACAGCTCACTGCAGCCCCCGCCTCCTGGGCTCAAGCAGTCCTCTCACCTCAGTCTCCCAGGTAGCTGGAACCACACACAGGCAGAGCCACCACACCGGGCTATTTTTATTTTTTTTTATTTATTTATTTTGAAACACAGTCTTGCCGTGTTGCCTAGGCTGGAGTGCAGTGACTTGATCTTAGTTCACTGTAACCTCCACCTCCTGGATTCAAGTGAGTCTCCCAAGTAGCTGGGATTACAGGTGTGCACCACCATGCCCAGAGAATTTTTGTATTTTTAGTAGAGATGGGGTTTCATTATGTTGGTCTAGGTGGTCTTGAACTCCTGACCTCAAGTGATCCACCTGCCTCAACCTCCCAGAGTGCTGGTATTACAGGTGTGAGCCACTGCGCCTGGCCTAATTTTTTTTTTTTTTTTTCTTTTTCTTTTTCTTTTTTTTTTTTTGAGACGGAGTTTCGCTCTTGTTACCCAGGCTGGAGTGCAATGGTGCGATCTCGGCTCACCACAACCTCCGCCTCCTGGGTTCAGGCAATTCTCCTGCCTCAGCCTCCTGAGTAGCTGGGATTACAGGCACGCGCCACCATGCCCAGCTAATTTTTTGTGTTTTTAGTAGAGACGGGGTTTCACCGTGTTGACCAGGATGGTCTCGATCTCTTGACCTCGTGATCCACCCGCCTCGGCCTCCCAAAGTGCTGGGATTACAGGCTTGAGCCACCGTGCCCGGCCAAATTTTTATGTTTTGTTGAGATGGTTTCTCACCATATTGCCCAGGCTGGTCTCAAACTCTTGGCTTCAAGCAATCATCCCGCCTCGGTCTCCCAAAGTGCTGGAATTACAAGTGTGAGTCACTGTACCTCTTGGCCAGTTTTTTGTTGTTTTTTTTTTTGAGATGGAGTCTCACTCTGTCGCCCAGGCTGGAGTGCAATGGTGCATTCTCCGCTCACTGCAACCTCTGCCTCCCAGGTTCAAGCGATTCTACTGCCTCAGTCTCCTGAGTACAGGCACCCGCCACCACACCCAGCTAGTTTTTGTATTTTTATTAGAGACGGGATTTCACCATATTGGCCAGGATGGCCTTCAGCTCCTGACCTTGTGATTTGCCCACCTTGGCCTCCTAAAATGCTGGGATTACAGGCGTGAGCCATCATGCCCAGCCAGTTTGTTTTTAGTTATGTTTTTGTTTTTAAATAAATAGAGGGTCTCGCCCTGTCACCCAGGCTGGAGTGCACTGGCATGATTTTGGTTCACTGCAGCCTGGACCTCCTGGGCTCAAGTGATCCTCCCACCTCAGCTTCCTGAGTACCTGGGACTACAGGTGTACACCATCACGTCTGGCTAATTTTTGTTTTTTGTTTTTTGTTTTTGAGACGGGGTTTCACCATGTTGGCCAGGTTGGTCTTGAACTGCTGACCTCAGGTAATCTACCTGCCTTGGCCTCCCAAAGTGCTGGGATTACAAGCGTGAGCCACCACGCCCGGCCAATTTTTGTATTTTTAGTAGAGATGGGGTTTCACTATGCTGCCCAGGCTGGTCTCCAACTCCTGAGCTCAAGCGATCCTCCTGCCTTGGCCTCCCAAAGTGCTGGAATTACAAGCATGAGCCACCACACCCAGCCCGATTCTCATTCTTCATATAAACTTCCATATAGTCCTTTTTCAAATCCTCACAGGCATTTAGTACTTTTGCAAGAAAAAGAAAGCATCCAATAAAGGAGGATGAAGAAGAAAATTTGTGCTGGGGAGAAACGAGGGCAGGGTGGCCCAAGCAGGAGGAGCTGCTCATGTGGAAGCCTGGAGCAGAGAGAAGGCAAGGCCGATGGGGGAGGCAGCAGGGCTCTAGGGAGCTGGAGGAGTGCACAAAGGCGAGGCTGACTTCCAGAGGCTGGGAGCTTTGGAGGAAGTGAGGGTGTGAGGGGGGTGAGGAGGTGGACTGTGGTTGGCAGTGAGAGGTGGAGGCTGCAGTGAGCTGAGATCTCACCCCTCTACTCTAGCCTGGGTGACACAGTGAGACTGTCTCAAAATAATAATAATAATAATAAGGAAAAGAAAGAAAGAAAAGAAAAATTAAATAAGTTTTAAGACTCGCAGCTACACGCCTGGCTCCCAACAAGTGTCAGGGAAGACTTCTGTGCCCAGGGACAGGAGGCGGGGCTTCCCAGGAGAGCCTGAGAGAGGAAGGCCAGAAATGGCTGCTCCGGAGTTCCAGGGGGCCTTTCCACCTTGGCACTGGGCAGAAACCTAACTGCAGGAAGCCGAGAGAGCCTGGAGATGCCTCCAGAATGCAGTTCTGCTCACTGGAGTCAGAAAAGTCTGAATTAATTTTATTTTTTATTATTTTCCTTTTTATTGATGGGGTCTCAACTATGTTGCCCAGGCTGGTCTCCTGGACTCAAGCGATCCACCTGCCTCAGCCTCCCAAAGGGCTGAAATGATAGGCATGGGCTACGACGCCCGGCCCAGAAAGGCCTGAATTGAAACCCCAGCCCTGCCCTGTCCAGCTGTGTGACTTGAGCACATGTACTTACCTGAGTCTCTGTACCCTCATCTGTAAAGCGGGAGAGAGTGGAGCTAAGCAGGTGTCAAAGATGAAAAAATATATATATTTTGAGACGGAGTTTCGCTCTTGTTGCCCAAGCTGGAGTGTAATGGTGCGATCTCAGCTCATTGCAACCTTCGTCTCCCAGGTTCAAGTGATTCTCCTGCCTCAGCTTCCTGAATAGCTGGGATTACAGGAATGCACCACCTCATCTAGCTAAAGTTTTGTATTTTTAGTAGAAACGGGATTTCACTACGTTAGCCAGACTGGTCTTGAACTCCTGACCTCAGGTGAGCTGCCCGCCTTGGCCTCCCAAAGTGCTGGGATTACAGGTGTGAGCCACCGTGCCCAGCCAGAACTATTTTAAAAGGTGACAGCGACAGTCCTAGGTGGAATTCTTGTCAAAAAGAGGACAGCGGCCATACCCTCCCCCCATCCAATCTGCACACAACCCGACACAGGACATGAAGCACAGTGTAGAGTTCCTTTATTTGGGGGCAGTGCCCAGGCCAGTTGGTGGGAAGAGGCAGGCACACAACCCAGTGCCAGGCTGAGGGGCCCAGCAGGGATGATGGAGGAGATGAGGCAGTTGAGGGATTCTCTCAGCTGTGGGTTCCAGGCCCAGGACAGGAGGAGATGTCAGGCATTGCACACTGAGCCTGCTTGGTGCCCGCAGGAGCCAAAAATTGGTGGCCAGAGTTCTTCCCACCCCTGCCTCCTGCTTGCCCACAAGGGGGTCAAGAGGCCAGCCTCCGCATCCTCCTTCCCCCTCAGGATGGAGTCCAGGCCCAAGAGAGTCAGATTATGCGGAGGCCACAGAGGACACTGAGGAAGGTGACCCTGCCTCAGCCAGCCAAGGACCCCCTGCCTCCAGACGGGAGGCAGCAGAGGAAGAACAAACACTTTAACACAGGCTGCAGCGACCCACCCACAGCACACACGGCACACAGAGGGCCCCAGGCACGGCTCCCTTCCAGAGCAAATCCAAACTAGACACACAGCCCGGCTCCTGCCCACAGCCACAGAAATGTGGGCCGCAGGCTTGCCTGGGCTGGTACCTACTGGTTCTCTTCCCTGCTGGCAGCATGAGGGGAAACGACACAGGTGGGCTCAGCTGGGTTCCCAGACACCAGCCCAGGCTAAGTCCTGGTCCCAGCCAACATGGGACAGAGAAAGCCTCCCAACTGGAGGAGAGAAAGGGGGTGTGGCTCACATCGGGGATGCTGTCACCTTCTTGAGGGCTGCCCATGGAGGAGACAGCTCCCTGGGTACTGAAGGGGAATGGTGGGCAGGAGCCAGGAGGTGAGCTGGGGCTCAGGTACTCGCTGCTGGCCAGGTACTCACAGTGTTTGGTAGGTGCTGTCCTTGGCTTTGAGAAAGCGCAGCACAAAGAAAGCCACCGCCTGTAGGCTCAACACCAGCACGACGCCTCCAATAAAGCTGGCTCCATCAAATCCAGGGCTGTGGGCCTCAGGGACTAGGGGGCTCCCTGCAAGGGTGAGGCAGGGTGGGGATCATAGCAGCCACTGTGAACCAGAATCCCAGTCCCACCCTATAACCAGCACAGGTAACCTGGAGGCCCTGGTCCTCAATATGGGGTCCTTAAACCCTGTGCTCAGAAGTCTAGTCCAGATCCCACAGGCAGCTGGGAAGTGCATGGTGGGAGGGACAGTGGTGTTGGAAGGTGAGGCACTGTCCAGTCCTGGTTCTGCTCCTGGCTTGCTCTGTGGCATTTTTTTTTTTTTGAGATGAGTTACACTCTGTGCCCAGGCTGGAGTGCACAGGCGCAATCTCGGCTCACTGCAACCTCCACCTCCCAGGTTCAAGTGATTCTTCTGCCTTAGCTTACTGAGCAGCTGGGATTATAGGCATATACCACCATGTCCAGCTATTTTTTTTTTTTGTATTTTTAGTAGAGACAGGGTATCACCTTGTTGGTCAGGCTGGTCTCGAACTCATGACCTCTACCCACCTCCACCTCCCAAAGTGCTGGGATTACAGGTATGAGCTCTGTGGCTTTTATGCCATGCCCATTCTCTCTGGCCCTTGTGATCACATGGTTCCAATAGGTGGCTTGGACTCGAGAGTGACTGGGCTCCCAGCCTCCCTGGGCCTCACTAGCCCAATAGGGTGGGGACAGATCCAGAACTCAGACATCCAGACCCCACTCAGAATTCCTTTCAGCCTTGGACGTCAGGGTTCAGAGCCAAGATGGAGTTGATATAGCCTCTTTTCAGGACTCCTAAGCCCTGAGACCCCAGTGTCACCCAATGTCAGAGCCCTTAGAGAAGGAAGAAGCAGGAGGAGAAGTGGAGGTCCCAACTCTCACCCTGCTAAGTGGGTGGGTGGGGACTGGACAGCGTGTTTCGGGGGAATACAGCTGAGGGACAGACTTGGCCAAAGTTACCTCACAGGACACACACAGGGTCCCCTGACCATTTCCTCTGCCTCATGGAGGGTAAAGCCTTAGGGTAACGGTTGCCAGGCTATGCCTTTGTGGCCCCCAGCTGTGCCACGGTACCTGTCCACTCCCAGCAGGGATTCGATTTCAGGCCCTGGGCCAGGTGCCAAGAGCAGGGCAGGGCTGATGGATGGAACATCATTCTGGGACAGTGGAAAGGGCATAGCCTCAGCTGGGACCATTTCCCAGAAGGTGTAAGGGGTGGAAGGAGTCTGAGAATATGAAGGGCAAACAATGGTCCCAGCGCTCAGGGAGCCCCAGGGAAGAAAGCTGGGGGATGAGGAGCAGAAGAGGGGAGAAATGAGCTGCATGAGGCCGATCTGGGGCTCCAGCTGAGGGAGCTGAGCCATCAATAATTCAGCTTCTGAGATCGGTTTCTGGCTTTAATTAACCAAGGGCCTCTTCAGCCATCCCTGCCAAGTCTGGTGACCTCCAGCCTCTGAGAGGCAGTGGGAAGCAAGGGGTGCGGTTCTCACCTCTGCTCTACCAGGAACCCGCCTTGTGACCCTCTCTGGGTCTGGAGGGTGCAGTAGGTGGGTCTCCTGTGCAATTTGAGCTGCACACCCCCACCTCCAAAGACAAATCCCTATGGGTCATCTTGCATTCCAGAACTGGCGATGGGGAGGAGGGATGGGAACTGTCATTCCTTGATCGCCATCAGTGAGTCAGACACTGAAGTGGGCACCGTACAACTTTTCATAAAACCCACACGGCAACTCTGTGAGGAAGGCATCATCCAACCCATTTCACGATGCAGAGACAGGCTCCAAGGGAGAAGGCGTGGGGCCAAGGTCACAGGGCATGTCGGTGCTTGAGCCCAGAGCTGTATTCCCCTGCGCCTCTGCTCCTCCCACTCCCCCGTCCCCAGGAAGTACCCACCTGTTGTGACTGTCTTCGGTTCATAGGTGGGGTGATGGTGAGCAGCTAAGGAGACAGGGAATTCATAAGAAAGCGGCCTTCCGACCCCTGACTCCCCCATCAAGACCCCAGCCCCCACTCACCATTAAACTTTCCATTCTGATGCAGCCCTGTCCCTGCTCCAGACATCCAACATACTTGCAAGCCTCAATCACACAATTCCCTCCACCAGATGTGCTCTCTCCATCTCTACCTTTGCGGCTCATCGCTGATGCCACTTCCTCCAGGAAGCACTCCCTCTCATTCCCTCTGAACTTCCAAAGTCCTTGCTATGCCTTAAACTGGAAGAGCTAACGCTCCCATCCCCTCCACACACCTGTGCGAATTTTCAGATAAGGAAACAGGCAGAGAGAGGAAGGGACTTCTCAGTGAGCTAAAGGCAGAAGTGATACTGGGCCCAGGTATTGGTGAGCACAGTCCACTCCCCGAGAGAGGCTCTTTCCTCCTGGGGGACAGGCTGTGGCTGGGGAGACTCATGCAACTTGGCTTCTGCGCAAGAACCCCCTTACCTGGACATGCCTCTGAGCGGTTGTAGGTGGAGCAACCTTCCTTGACCACCTCAGCTTGGGCCACACAGTGTCCTGGTGGGAGAAGGTGTAGGGGTGAGGTTTGGGGAGAGGGGCCAGGGCCTTGGGGTTCAGAGTGAACCTGGGGAGGGCTCAGCTCCATACCTGGCTCTTCTGGCCGGCACTGCTCCCACACGCAGCCGGAGAGATTGCTCGCTCTGTCTCCCTCCACGCAGCGCTCACAGACCTCCAGCTGTTTGCAGCCCCCTTGGACCGCTGGCCAGATGTTCAGGCGGATCAGGGCTCCCCGCCCAAAACCTCGAGCTCCTTTACCTGGGAGTGCGGTAGAATGGGAAGGGAGCAACTCCTCGAAACCAAGTTGTGGCACTCGCCCATCCTGACTCAACACTCCGGAAGCCCTTGCCCCTCTGCACACGTCTGGGCTCTCACATACACCTGCCCCTGGATCCTCAAGCCCCAGCGCACACCTGGAGCTCCCACAGAACATGTCTACACACGCCTAGAGCCTCCCCACAGGCACCCAGGGCCCCTTCCTTTGCATACCCTGAGGTTCCCAGATTCAGTTCGAGCCTCCTCCCCCAGACCGCTGAAGCTCCCTAGGCCCCCATACCTGGGGCCTATATTTACACAGAGGGCTCCACATAGAGCTAGAGACCCCTCTCCCACCTCTGGAGGCCTGCTCTCGTCCGGAAAGCCCCCTCCCCTCAAGCCCAGGCTGCTCCTAGAGAGGTGGCTGAGGGGCAGGCTCCACCAGCCCCTGTTGGGCCCCTAACCAGACCCTGCCGGGCGTTACCAGCCACAGCCAGCTGGGCACACAGGAGGAGCCAGCAGCAGCCGCCACAGAGCGCAGTTCTCACGGCACGGGGTCCCGGCGCCTCCATGGGCTCGGGGGCAGGGGCCGGGGGCGGCGGCCAGCGGCGAGGCGCGTCACTCCCAGATTGGGCTCTGCGGAGCGTGTAGGGAGAGAGACCTGGGCAACAGGAGCCTGGCCAGGTGGGGGCGTGGCCAGTGGGAGCGGCAGGTGGGGCAGGGCTCGTCGGTCGGGGCGGAGCCAGGTGAGGGCGGGGCCAGTTAGGGGCGTGGCTAGGGCGCGCGGCCTGGTGAATTCGGGGGTCTGGGGCCGGGCTTGGACTAAAGCGGGCGGTGTCCTGGACTGGTGGCCGACGTGGTTACCGTGTGCCCCTAAGGGCAGCTTCATGAAAACTCCGGTAAATAGCGACTGCTTTTATCCCTGCTTTACTGGTGAGGAAACTGAGGCTCGGACAAGATGAATGACTCGTTCAAGGTCACAGAGAGAGGCAGTGGCAAAAAATTAGATTTGAACATTATTTCGCAAGCAGAGGTCACTTCCCTGCCTTCAGGGCTCGGTGCAGGCACCGCTTTGTCGAGTACACCCTCCACCCAGGCCCCATATGACCGCTGGGATGGGTGCCAGCTGGCTCCTGCCCTCTGGCTACACAAGCTCAGCTCCCATGCTCCCTCTTCATTCACTTCACCTCTCCACCCACCTCCCTTCTGCCCCTCATCCGCTGTGTCTGCCTCCGGCCTACCATAACCTCTGGCCAGATCAAGGGTGACTCCATTACTAGGCAATTGGGTCTCTCCGCAGCCTTCCCCAAGGCCACCACTCCTGCCCTGGCACCAGCCTCTTTTGGTTCTCCTCGAGCTCCTTAGGGGGCATTTCCTCTTCTTCCTCTTCCTTCTCCCCCCTCTCCCCTCCTTCCCCCGTCTGCTTCTCCTAACCCTCTTATGCTGGCCCAGGTTAGTTCTAAACCCTGTTCCACACTGTCCTGGGCTCATCCTGGACATTCCACTGCCCTCAGTCTTCATTTAAAAGCCAACAGCTGAGGCAGGAGGATCACTTGAGCCCAGGGATTTGAGGCTGTAGCGAGCCATGATCATGGCATCGCACTCCAGCCTGTATGTCAGAGCAAAACTCTGTCTTGAGCAAATGAATGCTAAAAGGTCATGTATCCCAATAAATAGTAGGACATCTACTATGCACCTATAATAAAAAGTTTATTTTTTGGCCGGGCACGGTGGCTCTTGCCTGTAATCTCAGCACATTGGGAGGCCAAGGCAGGCAGATCACAAGTTCAGGAGTTCAGGATGGCCAACATGGTGAAACCCCGTCTCTACTAAAAATACAAAAATTAGCTGGGTGTAGTGGCAGGCACCTATAATCCCAGCTACTCTGGAGGCTGAGGCAGGAGAATCGCCTGAACCCAGGTGGAGGCTGTAGTGAGCCGAGAGAGCACCTCTGCACTCCAGCCTGGGGACAGAGCAAGACTCTGTCTCAAAAAAAAAAAAAAAAAAAAAAAAAAAAAAAAAAAAAAAAAAGTGTTTTGTTTTTTTTTAAAAGCCAACAGGTCCCTCAGTCATCTCCAGGCCAGTTCTGGCTTCACAGCTGCCACATCTGCAACTGATAATACATAGCTAGCAATTATTGACCCCTTACTAGCAGATGTACAATTTGAGAGCTTTTACATGCAGCTTCATCTAATGTCCGCAGCTATCCTCTAGGCATGGGTTTTGTCATCTCCCGTTTGCAGGCTGCTCAAGGGCACAGGGTTTCAATGCAGCAGGCCAGGATATAAAGCTAGGACCGAATAATTCTAGAGGCCACGATCCCTCTGCTGTGCCTCCCGTGGGTTCACCGGCTTCTGGCACTTTCACCTGAGTGTCTCTGAGGCTCCCCAAACTACCCAGTCTCTTTCCTCACTCAGGGAGGCCCCGTCATCCCCCTAGTCACTCAGGTGGAAAACCAAGTCTCATCTTCAGCCCTCTCTCTGTATGAGCCTCCAGATTAAAATCCTTCGGGTTCTGTCCCCTTGTGTTCCCTCTGCAGGCCTCACTGCATCTCACCTTCCAGGCCCCTCCCATGCTGGCCCTCACAAATCATGGATTTGACCATATCTCTTCCAGTTAACAAATTTCCTTTTTCCTTTTTGTGTTTTTGAGACTGAGTCTCGCTCTGTCGCCCAGGCGGGAGTGCAGTGGCACCATCTCAGCTCACTGCAACCTCCACCTCCCATGTTCAAGTGATTCTAGTGCCTCAGCCTCCCAAGTAGTTGAGATTCTGAGATTACAGGCATGTGCCACCACATCCGGCTAATGTTTTGTATTTTTTTTTTTTTTTTTTTTTGAGACAGAGTTTCGCTCCTGTTACCCTGGCTGGAGTGCAATGGCGCGATCTCGGCTCACCGCAACCTCCGCCTCCTGGGTTCAGGCAATTCTCCTGCCTCAGCCTCCTGAGTAGCTGGGATTACAGGCACGTGCCACCATGCCCAGCTAATTTTTAGTATTTTTAGTAGAGACAGGGTTTCACCATGTTGACTAGGATGGTCTCGATCTCTTGACCTCGTGATCCACCCACCTCGGCCTCCCAAAGTGCTGGGATTACAGGCTTGAGCCACCGCGCCCGGCCATGATTCAGGTTTTTTTTTTTTTTTTTTTTGAGACGGAGTTTTGCTCTTGTCACCCAGGCTGGAGTGCAATGGCGTGATCTCGGCTCACCGCAACCTCCGCCTCCTGGGTTCAGGCAATTCTCCTGCCTCAGCCTCCTGAGTAGCTGGGATTACAGGCACGTGCCACCATGCCCAGCTAATTTTTTGTATTTTTAGTAGAGACGGGGTTTCACCATGTTGACCAGGTTGGTCTTGAACTCTCGACCTTGTGATCCACCCGCCTCGGCCTCCCAAAGTGCTGGGATTACAGGCTTGAGCCACCGCGCCCTGTATTTTTTAAGTAGAGACAGGGTTTCACCATGTTGATGAGGCTGATCTCAAACTTTTGATTTCAAATGATTCACCCACCTTGGCCTCCCAAAGTGCTAGGATTACAGGTGTGAGCCACCATGCCCGGCCCCACTTAACAACTTTTCAGCAATGATTTGAATTGTTGAAAATTCAATGTGGGGACAACCCTTTGATTCCTGGTTCTAGAAGTCTCTCTTTTCCTGGCCTGGGCTCTTCCCATCACCTTCCTACCCTCTAAGAAGTAAGAACAGCGCCTTCCCCCTATACTTCTCTTCCTTTATCCTAGCTTATCTCTCTCCTAGAGGGTCCTCCTCAACCTTGGACTTCATTTGCCTAGTAAACTAATCTTTTAAGACACCACTACAAGGCCACCTCCTGCAGGAAGCCTTCTGTGACTGTCTCAGAATGAGGCTGAGCTGCTGTAGCACTTAGCTGGAGATCTAAATCCATCTGCTTTTCCACATCAGAGCCCTCACCATCTCTTGCCTGAATGACTGTATGGCCGCCTAGTGGGGCTTCTGCTCCCCATTCCAGTCTGTTCTGCACTCAGCAGTTAGAGTGACCCTTTGAAAACGTGTCAGGTCAGACCATAACATTCCCCGCCCGTCAATGACTTCTGTCTCACTGACCACATGATCTTGCCTCTGCCCGCCTCGCCTCTCCTCCCTCTCCCCTCTCCCCTCTCCCCTTTGCTGATTTAGCTGCCAACAAACTAGCCTCCTCTCTCTGGTCCTCATACCCATAAATGCTTTCTCTTCTTGGGGACTTTGCACTTGTCATGTCCTCTCCTTAAGACTCCTGTTCTCTCTTCAGGTGACTTGCTCCATGACCTCCCTCCCTGAAAGAGGCCTCCCAGTGATTCTATATCCCTACAGCTGCTCTTTTCTTCAGAGCATGTATCTAATGGATAATTAATTACTCATTTGTTTCCTAGGCTGTAAGCTTCATGAAGGCAGGAACCCTGTTGATCCTTTTACCTCCCTAGCGAACTCCTTGCACACAGTAAGAGCTGAATAGATGTTGGGTTTTGTTTGTTTTAAGACAGAGTTTTGCTCTTGCTGCCCAGGCTGGAGTGCAGTGGCGCAATCTTGGCTCACTGCAACCTCAATCTCCCGAGTAGCTGGGATTACAGGTACCCACCACCACGCCAGGCTAATTTTTTGTATTTTCAGTAGAGACGGGGTTTCATCATATTGGCCAGCCTGGTCTCGAACTCCTGACCTCAGGTGATCCACCTGCCTCAGCCTCCTAAAGTGCAGGAATTACAGGCGTGAGCCACCGTGCTAAGCCAGATGTTTATTAAGTAACCCTACTGTACCATGTTGTGACCATCTGTGTACATGTTTGTCCCACTGGTCTGTGAGGCCCCAAAGAGCTTCCTACTTGACAGATTTTAAGGATCTATTTGTAGATTGTCCATCTCTCTGCATTAAAACTGAAGCTTGGCCTGGCACAGTGGCTCAAACCTATAATCCCACCACTTTGGGAGGCTGAGGTGGGTGGATCACTTGAGGTCAGAAGTTCTAGACCAGCCTGGCCAACATGGTGAAACCCTGTCTTTACTAAAAAATAAAAAAATTAGCCAGGCATGGTGGCACACACCTGTAGTCCCAGCTACTTGGGAGGCTGAGGCAGGAAAATGGCTTGCACTTGGGAGGCAGAGGTTGCAGTGAGCTGAGATTGAGCCACTGCACTACAGCCTGGGTGACAGAGGGAGACTCCGTCTCTAAATAAATAAATAAATAAATAAAACAATACATAAATAAAACTGAAGCTCATTGAAGATGGCAGGAATTTTTGTTCATTGCTGTATCCTCTGTACCTGGGAAATAGTAGATGCTCAATAAATGTGTCTATTGACTGTTGAAAAGGCAGGAATGTGGCCAGATCATCTTTCCGTCCCTAGCACCCACTGAACAAACCCTAAGCCCAGGGGAACTGCCAATAAATAATGGCTGAATGAATGGGTCTATGCTAAGAATATGGGCACTAATGATGCCTAGACCCTTGGGTCTTAGAT